ATATGTAATTAATTAAGAATAAAATTGATCTTTATTTTAATAACCTTTAATGAATGTCAGTTAAAGTATTTTTATAATAAATTCAATCATAACTTTTAATTACTTCTACATATTTATTAGCTTTAAGAGACAAGGATCGCCTTTTTATATTTCGATATATGGTTGCTTATCTTTTTATTCAATTCTAAATACTCCTAAATAGCTTTTCATGCTCTCATAATTTTGGACAGCATCATAAAGTCTCGTATTAAAATGTCTTTAAGATTCTTGATATTTTTTGAATATTCACAAGACTCTCCTAATATCTAAATTATTTCTATAGTATTGCAATAACCTTAAGTATCTATTTATTTAAATCTTTCCTTTATTATAATGGTATAAATTGCCCTAAATTTTTTCCAAAATGTACTGCTATTTAATAGTCCTTAATATGGATCTATGTTTTAGATTGCTAAAGTCATTGTTTCTTCTTTATATATTTTATTAATTTATTAGATCTCATATGGGAATTTCATAACTTTTAGTAAAAAGTTTTTTCATTATTCCTTATCAAACAAAATCAATTTTTATACACTTAAAATCAATCAAAATTGAATGAAAAAATATTGGAAGTATTGATATTATTTAGATATAAATCTTGTGAATATCAAAATTAAATCCATGAAAGCTTCTTATGCATAAAATTGGTTATTGGAATTTAATTAGAATGGTAATATTTAAGTTATTTATATAAAATTAAATTGAATACTAAGTTCTCTAAGCTTTTCTGTCTTAGCGCCCCATAGCAGAATATACTTATCTTCAATAACTAGAGATAATAGAGTACCTACAGTCAAAAAGAAAAATCTAAATTAGATTTACATAGTAATTATGTTTATTTAGGACACTACTCATGCCTTAACATGCCATAAATGGATAGACATATTATCACTCCCAGATGATAGGGTATTTTCTCATGAGAGAAGCATACTATCTAGATAGCTCCACTATGGCCATCTAATTTTGCTTTTTGTTATCAAGTTTGAAATTACAAAGTCGTTTCGATATATTACAAAATACCCTCTTCTCTGATTCTTTTTTAATTAGCCTTCCAAATAGATAATAATAATTCTCATTTCATTATAGAGATATCATTAATAATTCTGAGAACACTCATTTATTTTGGTGATACATTATTTGAGCCCTATTAGAAATTCTTCAGATCGCTAAACAATAAAACAAATTCTTTGAAAAACATTATTTAAAATAAGATAATTTTAATATAAAACCTAATTGCTTTTATATTAGAATAAACAATATATGATTGTATTATAATTTAGAATTGATAGCATAAAGGGATTATCTTATTACAGATCTTTTGCCTTAAAATAATTAAAAGCACTAACTCTTATTTGAAATATTTTATTTATTATTTCTGTTATAATGAGATTTAAAATCTTTAGGGTCCAATCAAATGGACATACCTAAATTAGGAGATTATTTATTTTCTTTACCTTATTTTCATGACTCAGAATCAGGTTAGAGTATTTTTAATATCATAAGAATTAGCTTTATGTATTTTGCATTTAATAAACTTTAAGTGCTTATTCTTTATTTCCCTTTACTAATAATTATATAGAATCTATTTAGAAAAAAATATTTATTATTATGCTCATATAATCTAAGAATATACTAAGATTTAATGACTTTGCAAAATCTAGGTGTGCCTTTTCTTTATTCCCTTAGCAATCTTTAAGTACTCCTAATCTAAAAAAAATATTGATCACTTCTTTAATAAAAAATATATTATTCATTAAATTCTATGAAATTACACTTTTACTATCTATAAGTGCATATTCTTTATTCACAATTTATAAAATAAGATTCCTAACCATTTATAAATACTGTTACTATGTTAATATCATTAAGGTGAAATCATTCCTAGACTCAAATCCAATCAGCCCCTGTTGTCTCTTTATTATATCTTCATCTAGAATTACAATTGGATAAAAAATTATATTTCTTAGTTAAAGTCTCTGCATTCACGGGATTAGAATGAATGGTCTAGTCAAAGAGTGCAGCTTCTTAATTTGCAAATTTTTGATGTACAATTTTTATTCAATATAAATTTTGATTGCTTACTTTAAAATAAATTTTTGCATCTTTAAAATCTAATAAAAGAGATTTATTATAATCTATGAATACCTCACCTATTCATTATTTCCATTCTAATTATAGAAAACTTATTTAATATAATATCTCTATTAAATCTATTTAAATTTACTTTAAAATTCATTAGAATCTAATTGAATAACCTGATTATAATTATGAGTGTTGTGCAACAGTTTTCCTTTTAATTGTTACATGCCTTTTCACTCAATTCAATTTTGTAACTCCATATTTATGTTACAAAGATCCAATATTACCACAATTATCTTTGTTCAAAAATTGCAACTAAAATTATTATAGCAAAAATATGATGATTATTTTGGAAAGAAAGAGAAATTTTTGAAAAATTGTATTATTTATAAAAAAGTCTTGATTGTTGTATTACTGACATTAAAATCATTTTAAAAGGAAACTTTTATTATCATCAATGTGAAAACTTCAGAAGCTCTAATTTTTTTTTATTATAGAGCAATTTCAATCTTATTTACAATTGATAGTCTACTCATTATAATTAATTATTAAAAGCAGTTGATTTCACATTACATGCATAATTAAATTAGGTATGAGTTCACTTTTTCTACTAAAAATCCATAAAACAATAATATAGTTATTAATTATAAATTTATCTTTTTAGAAAAAATCAATTAGGATTTTACCTCTTCATTATAAATCAATTGATTATTTAATTTATTCAAGTTAGATTTCACTTTTTTTTNGGGTATTTTCTCATGAGAGAAGCATACTATCTAGATAGCTCCACTATGGCCATCTAATTTTGCTTTTTGTTATCAAGTTTGAAATTACAAAGTCGTTTCGATATATTACAATTTACCCTCTTCTCTGATTCTTTTTTAATTAGCCTTCCAAATAGATAATAATAATTCTCATTTCATTATAGAGATATCATTAATAATTCTGAGAACACTCATTTATTTTGGTGATACATTATTTGAGCCCTATTAGAAATTCTTCAGATCGCTAAACAATAAAACAAATTCTTTGAAAAACATTATTTAAAATAAGATAATTTTAATCTAAAACGCAATTGCTTTTAAATTAGAATAAACAATATATGATTGTATTATAATTTAGAATTGATAGCATAAAGGGATTATCTTATTACAGATCTTTTGCCTTAAAATAATTAAAAGCACTAACTCTTATTTGAAATATTTTATTTATTATTTCTGTTATAATGAGATTTAAAATCTTTAGGGTCCAATCAAATGGACATACCTAAATTAGGAGATTATTTATTTTCTTTACCTTATTTTCATGACTCAGAATCAGGTTAGAGTATTTTTAATATCATAAGAATTAGCTTTATGTATTTTGCATTTAATAAACTTTAAGTGCTTATTCTTTATTTCCCTTTACTAATTATATAGAATCTATTTAGAAAAAAATATTTATTATTATGCTCATATAATCTAAGAATATACTAAGATTTAATGACTTTGCAAAATCTAGGTGTGCCTTTTCTTTATTCCCTTAGCAATCTTTAAGTACTCCTAATCTAAAAAAAATATTGATCACTTCTTTAATAAAAAATATATTATTCATTAAATTCTATGAAATTACACTTTTACTATCTATAAGTGCATATTCTTTATTCACAATTTATAAAATAAGATTCCTAACCATTTATAAATACTGTTACTATGTTAATATCATTAAGGTGAAATCATTCCTAGACTCAAATCCAATCAGCCCCTGTTGTCTCTTTATTATATCTTCATCTAGAATTACAATTGGATAAAAAATTATATTTCTTAGTTAAAGTCTCTGCATTCACGGGATTAGAATGAATGGTCTAGTCAAAGAGTGCAGCTTCTTAATTTGCAAATTTTTGATGTACAATTTTTATTCAATATAAATTTTGATTGCTTACTTTAAAATAAATTTTTGCATCTTTAAAATCTAATAAAAGAGATTTATTATAATCTATGAATACCTCACCTATTCATTATTTCCATTCTAATTATAGAAAACTTATTTAATATAATATCTCTATTAAATCTATTTAAATTTACTTTAAAATTCATTAGAATCTAATTGAATAACCTGATTATAATTATGAGTGTTGTGCAACAGTTTTCCTTTTAATTGTTACATGCCTTTTCACTCAATTCAATTTTGTAACTCCATATTTATGTTACAAAGATCCAATATTACCACAATTATCTTTGTTCAAAAATTGCAACTAAAATTATTATAGCAAAAATATGATGATTATTTTGGAAAGAAAGAGAAATTTTTGAAAAATTGTATTATTTATAAAAAAGTCTTGATTGTTGTATTACTGACATTAAAATCATTTTAAAAGGAAACTTTTATTATCATCAATGTGAAAACTTCAGAAGCTCTAATTTTTTTTTATTATAGAGCAATTTCAATCTTATTTACAATTGATAGTCTACTCATTATAATTAATTATTAAAAGCAGTTGATTTCACATTACATGCATAATTAAATTAGGTATGAGTTCACTTTTTCTACTAAAAATCCATAAAACAATAATATAGTTATTAATTATAAATTTATCTTTTTAGAAAAAATCAATTAGGATTTTACCTCTTCATTATAAATCAATTGATTATTTAATTTATTCAAGTTAGATTTCACTTTTTTTTTAGTTAAAACAATATTATTAAACATTATAATGTAAAATAAAGATAAGATAAATAAAAGCAATCTAAAACTGATGAATTTGATTTTTCACATCAATTAATCTGAATCTCTAAATTATATTTATTATCTAAATCTATAATAGTTTTAGTTTTGAACCACAATTTTTATAATTTACTTATTAAAAAGTGAATATATTTTGTTATTTATCATCCATGAATCAAAAATACCCATATAATACTAATTCATTTTTAAACTTCCATATTCTATTTTGCATATTTATAATATGAATTATGACTGAATAGATTAAGAATATAGTGTTGGTCCTCAATTCCAAACACAAAAACGAGTAAATTTGTTTCACAGAGTTGAAGCATAACATTCCAAAAGTCTGCCGTTGTGTAGTATCACTATTCTAAAGCAGTAGAGTACTATTACTGAGCAAGTTTGTTAGAATTTTTCTTCTGATTTTTTGAATGGAAAATTCAAATTCAGAATTATTATTATTATAATCATATTTTAACAATTTTAAATCTAAAGTGCAAATATTTTATTAATGAAATTTAGTTGAGAACAAAATAGATGCTATGAAATTTGCAAAATGTTTTTGCAATATTCATTTTAGTAATTTATCGTCTAGTCATTCCTCAGAACTCTTAGTATAAAACAAATACTTTTCTCTTAATTTTATAGTTAACCAACCTTCAAAGTTAATGCAAAAGCTGCATTCATAACTAAAACTATTTTTTATTTATTAAATAATTTGAGATTAGTTTAAGAAAGTAATACATTTATTTTGATGATTATTTTTTATTATTATAATAAGTTTTACATGAAGAGTGGATTAACATTGATAATTGTTTTAGCCTTAATTTAAATAACTAAATAGGATTGCTTCAGATAATCAAATTCATTTTTGAAGAGAAATCACTAGAATGTATTATCATATTAAGCAGGAGCATTGATTTCATCTAAATTAAAAAATGGCTTTAATAACGGGAATAATGGAGTTTGTTTAAGAGATAATCTATATAAAATTTTAAATGATGGACTACCTTATACTGCTTGTGGAAAAGGGTAATCAATTTCCATAAGATTACTCTAAAAGTATTTATTAAATACATTAAAAATTTGGCTTTGGGATTATGGCTTTAGCGAAGGAGACAGATATTATAATATAACTGTTTATGCTATATTAAATCAAGGGAAAAAAAACATTTATGTTAGCAACTCAGAAAACCCAGCAATAAGTCAAATGACTATTTAATTTCAAGAATAGTATGTTGATGAATTTGAAGTAGTAAATGTAGATGGTAATACTTTCAATCAAGGTTTACATATCATCAAAGTTGAAGCTTATTATAAATTTTATTGAATTTTAGAAATAATATTTCATAATTTTCAATTAATTGCTCCATCTAAGAAGATCTCAACCTAAATTTAAGTATTTAAACGTTATAAAGATATTAAATTTATAGTTTATCTTGAATAAATAAATATGTTCATTGTATTCTAATAAGGTGATTGATACTGGATTAGATAAAAATAAAAGATAAAGAATTTTCATTTTTATAAGCATAATGATTTGAAAAATTATCATTATAGATTAAAACTTTTTTAAATAGTTAGATTAATTAATTTATTAGTTTAAAGATGTTATTTAATATAATACCCATAAGATTTATTGATTAATTCTCATATTTTATTTTTCAATCATCAAAAACTATAATCTAAGAACCAGATTTGCAAAGGTCAGTTAAAAGAACTGATATTTATTTAGTATAAATTTTGAAATATGCAAATTTCATCCATTTATATTTACAATTAATTTTTAAAATTTCGATATATAAGATGAAGCACAAATGTAAATTTATTTGATTTCAAAATTAAATTCTACTAAGATTGAATTATATACTTAATTCAGTATCGATGCAAAATTCGATTTATATATCAGATCTTATAAAAAGCTAATCTTTTAAGATAGGCACTGACCATTATTAAGTGAATTAACCAAAGATTCAATCCGAATTTTTTACACTTATCCATCCGAACAGTTTATTTATATAATTCTATTAGTATATCCTTCAAAGATATATATCTCACGCTGGAATCTTTGTAACTAGTGAAACTTTTAAATTATGAACTCTGAGTCTATTGATCTAATAGGCCAATATTAATGGTAAAATCATTTTTAAGTCTCCAACTCCATAAAAATTATGTAAGCGGGCATTCTACATCAAACCACCATTTACTTCTGATATTATAAAGAAACTCATATTTAAGATTATAAATCCCTGTAATAACCTCTTATCAGTTATCTGGATCTATATTCTTAACAATTGAATTTTAAAAAAAAATGAAATACATTTAAGAAAATAAAGAGAAATTCTTTCAATTGACAAATCTATAAACTAAACTTTTTTCAATATTTTTGATATTGTTATAATTTTATATATTTATTAGGTTAGATTTCCTGATAGAAAGACATATTGATATTTAACAATATTTTGATTTGTAAACTACATTGAATACTATTAAGTTATGTTAATAATTCACATGATTATCAAAAATTATAGTTAAATCTTTAATTTCATAATAAAATCATAGAATTTTTTCGAATAATGAATTTAATAAAAAAATACCATTTATCAAATTATTAAGTTTATAATAAACCAATTTAAATATATATTTCAATTAAATTAAGATTCTAATATTTTTAATAATTTAAAAATTTTTTTAACTTTTAATTTGTGATGACATCATAATTTGAGTCATTCAAGAGGCTGTCCCCTTCA